AATGATGAATTGTATTATCCAGATTGATTGCAAAGAATATTTTTAAAATATTATTATTGCAAACCATGAAAATGGGCTTAGCCCGATCAGCTGAGAACACGAAACCGTAAAGTTTGTATGCTTCATTTTTGTCGTGGTTCTTTGAATTATGAAAGTATTGGAAGTGGGAAATATCTACATGAAGAATCAAAGGGCAGAAAATGGGTTGCATGAAAGGGAAGATGAGGTAATAAATTGGAGGGTCCATTGATGTGGACTCACTTCCTTTTGTGCGTCCAAATTACATACGCTTAATTTGGTTCGATTATGTATCTCCACTATTGAAAATAAAATATCATGGTTTAAATTTACTGTTTGACTTTGAGAATGAATTCAAATTTACTGTTTGGCAACTGACATATATGAGTTTGAAAACGAGTTTTTTTGAAATAGTTTGAAAATCTCAACTTTACTCAGTTATTAGGGCATCTATAACGGGAGATTTGTGCAAGGTTTGTAAACTCAAACCTGGAGGTTTAACCATTAAAGTACATAGTTTTAAGGTTTGAGTTTTCAAACCAGCTTTGACAATGCACTCCCGTGTTGAAGNTTTAACTTTCTTTACTTTATTCTAATTTATATTTAGTAAACTTTTCTCTCTTTTTTTATCAACTTTTTATTTATATTTCATAAAATTTTGTCTCTTTCCTTTGTAATAAAATTTTCTTAATTTTTATAGTATTTTATATTACTTAGGATTATACATAATTTTAAAAAAATATAATAAATATTGCAACATTTAAATTAATTGAAATAATAACGAGTTGCCGTTGTTTTCGAAAAATAACAATTGAAAACTAGGTATTTTCGAACAAGAACGAACACTAACAATATTTCCTTATTATTTTATAATTAAAATTATTGAATTATGAACTTGAATTTTTATTCTAATTAATTTTATATTTTTTACGTTATTAAAGTTGAATAGTGATAATAATAATAATAATAAAAAAAAGCAAGGTCCCATGCATCAGTGAATGTCATCCATCAACTTTTGCATTTTGTAGAGCAACTTTGAATTGAAGAGTATCTTTAAATTTGTTTTCAATCTTTTATCTCTTTTTTTTTTTGGTCAGATTTTGGAATGGTGATGGTAAAAAAGATAAAGCTGCATGTGTATTGTCATCCATCAACCATTTATATTTGTCGGATGCTTTAATTTGAATGTTGAACTGATAAGAATTGCCATTGAATTTTTTTGTCTATAAATGAGATTGTTTTCTCTACAATGTTCCATAAACTATTACATCTTTTATTAGGAAACAAAAATTAGTCATATCTTCAATATCTCTCAAGCTGTAATGGATAATAATCCATACAAATCCTACCCAAATATGCCGAACTCATCGGAGGATGACAATCCGTCTTCCGTAAATTCACGTTTTACACGAAATATGCAATTTTCTCAATTTCCTATAATGCAACTACAACCCCAGTTTCAAAATTTTCCTTTTCAAGTACATGCACCAATGCCTTCTTATCCAAATTCACAAACTTCAGAGCAAAATTCCTTTCCCCCATCACCAAATTTAATGACCATGAATCAATCTCAGTATATGTGGTCAATGCCGCCCCAATATGGCATGCCGAATGCATTTGGGATGCCTTATAAACAAGGAAATTTCATGCCGACTGGATTCTCTAGTAGCCCCATTGAAGTCCTAAGACCTTGCACGATCCCGGAGGTTGAAGGACTCGACAACATTTGCCTTGATACGGATTCAGAAAAAACCAAAGAAGTTGAGCCTAAAAGACGGGGTAAAGCGACAGCAATGCCGTGGACACATGATGAGGATGTTTTACTATGTCGAGCTTTCTGTACCATCTCAAGTGATCCAGTCATTGGCGCTCAGCAAACATCCGAAGGTTTTTGGAGGCGAATTGTACAGTACTATAATGAAGCTGATGAAGCACGAAACCTCACTCAGAGAACTATGGAGTCAGCAAAATCTCATTTTTATGCGTTTCATGGAGATTGCCTAAAATTTAATGCGTCAATAAACAGGTCTCGGGCTGATCAAATAAGTGGTGAAAATGATGCAATTGTTTTGCAGAATGCATTAATGGAGTGGAATAGCGAGGGAAAAAAGAAATGAGGCTTTAAATGGCTTCATTGTTGGGAGGTATTGAAAAATAATGCCAAATTTGATGGGGCATCTCAGACAACCCGAGGAGGAAAGAAAGCCAGAATATCTAACACTGGAGATCTCACTTCTGGCTCTGGGCAAGATGTCGAGCCTAGTGGTGATGGTGAGGGCAGATATGTGCGTCGACCAATTGGCTAAAAAGCAGCAAAGGCTGGGAAGAGAAAGGGAAAAGCAACTGCAGGAGGAAGCACCGATGCAGATGTCGACCGTCTGTTGGCTGAGATTGGTCAGGTTAAAGAAATTCATCTGAAGAAACAAAAGGATTTGGAAAAGCTAGTTCGTATAGAGTCATGGAAGACGTACAGAGAAATGCTAAAGGAGGATACTTCAACAATGACAGAAGAAGAATTGCAAGCCCACCATGGACTTCTTGCCGTGCTTAAAGAAGAGTTGGGTCTAAACTGATTATTTATGTTGTTTGAAGGTTTTATCGTTCTATAATTTAAATGTTATGCCTTGTTTATCTAAGTTATTATGTATTGTGTTAAATTTTATGAGTGTAAGCAATGTTTGTTGTTGTTTGATCTATTTTAAAAATAGCTCATTTTTTCACTTGTTTTTTAAAAACACATCTAACGCGTTCTTATACCATACAATTAAATTCAAAATTTATTCAGAGACAAAAATAATGTTAGTTTTATTTCAGCAAAAATAACATACATATTAGTAAGAGTTAAAGTGTTTATCTATTGGTTCAACATCCAATTTGATTTATTACCCACTACACACTTTTCACCTAATACATTAAACCTAACACACCAACCACTACAACATAATACCTATCACATTATTACACCACACTTCTCACTTACTCCACCACACATGCCACCTACTACCACACACATGCCACTTAACACATCCTAACCTAACACAATCACTTTTTACTATAAATATAGTATCATCAACTACACAACCACATCCAAAAACATCTTTCAATTCCTTCTTTATTCTTCCTTCTTATTGTTTTCCCAATTTACACAAATATAAATATTTTTCAGTTTTCTAAAATGGCTGGCCGTAATAACGATAGAGTCTCATATCGTTCTTTCTTGAACGATATGCTTGACGATTCTTTGGAACAAGCTGAATTTGCCTTGATGGAGGCCACGGCTATGCATTTGCAGCAAGGCAGGCAAGATGAAAGTTTATTTTGCTCCCGATCCCATATACCACGAAGGCTACTTTCGTCGTAGATTCCGTATGTCCAGACGACTATTTTGTCGGATCGATCAGGTTGTCGAAAGCCATTCTGATTATTTTAAGTGTAAATCAGATGCGATACGAAGACCAGGTTTTACACCATATCAGAAATGTACTGCGGCTATACATCAACTAGCGTACGGAGCTCCTGCCGATCAATGTGACGAATACCTTCGTATGTCAGAGCAGACGGCGAATCAAGTCTGCTCGAATTTTGTCGTGCTGTGCGAGAAATATATGCACCCCAATATTTGCGCCCCCCAAATGCCAATGACATCCAAAGAATACTTACATTACACGAGAAGAAACATGGTTTTCCTGGAATGTTGGGAAATCTAGATTGTATGCACTGGGAGTGAAAAAATTGTCCAGTTGGATGGCAAGGCTCGTACACTCGAGGGGACCATGGGATACCCACGATTATGCTTGAAGCAGTGGCATCACAAGACCTATGGATCTGGCACGCATTTTTTGGGCTCACGAAATGATATAAATGTACTTCACGAATCTCCTTTATTTAATGATGTTTTACATGGTGTAGCTCCAGAAGTCAATTTTGTGGTAAACAGGACTCAATACACCAAAAACTACTTAACAGACGGTATCTATCCAGAGTGGGCTACATTTGTCAAAAGCTTTCAATGTCCAGAGGATCCAAAAAGGAAAAAATCAAGCAAAGGCAAAAGGCTGCAAGAAAAGAGGTTGAGCGTGCTTTTGGGGTCCTCCAATCAAGGTGGGCAATTATACGGGGTCCTTCTCGTTTTTGGTATAAAGAAGATCTTAGCAAAATTATGTTATCGTGTATCATTTTACATAACATGATAATCGAGGACGAAGGCGAAGGAGCTACCAACTGGTCTAATAATGAATGTGAACCACCAGTGCCGGCGCGTGAAGGGGTGCCTCCAAATTTTCGACAGTACTTGCAGATAAGAGCTGAGGTGCAAGACAGACAAATCCATCATCAACTTCGACACGACTTGGTTGAGCATATTTGGAATGAATCTACTTCCCAAGATTAATATTTAGAAAATATTGTACTCAAAATTAATTTTTATGATAATGTGTGTTCTATGTTTCGTAATTTTTATAAGTAAAAATATACATTCGTACGTACTTCACACTATAATTATTTATAATTATATATATTTTAAATGCATTAATGATAATATAAGAATATTTACATTTAGTGAAGATAAAAAATAGAGTTATAATTTTAAAATATTACTAAAATATAAGAGTATAATATTAATTAAAAGTAATTGGGAAACATATGGAACCCTAAAAAGTGAGGTGTATGGGGTTTATGGTTATTGGAGGTTTATGAGTGTAGGAGTAAGGATGATCTGTTAGATGACGTGGTGTGTTGGGAAGTGTAAAAGTGAGGTTTATGAGGTTTATAAAATTTTATGAGTAAAGATGCTCTTAGTCCAAGTCATTCTTAAAAATAAAACCAAGATTTAACTCACTAAAATGCACTCAAAATGTACAAAACAAGTTCCAACTGTAAAATAAAAGGCAAATACAAAGCTCTCAAATTCGGTGCACAATAATTAGCTAAATAATAAGATAAGATAAGATAAAATAAGCAACCACCTAATTAATTTCACACAATTAGACGGAAGCCTGCGTAACTTTTGCCACACCCTTACCCGCAGTTTCCGGACACATGCCCCCACCTTGTCGCATATGCATATCCACGCCCACTCCACCCACCGGCACCGGCGCCGGCGAAGCCCCTATCACACCCCCTGGCGCGGCGTACAACACCTGTCTCCCCATACTGCCATCGTACGCCATCTGCGCGTACCCCGCTTGCGTCACCATCCCGAAACCCTCGGAGTATCCCGCTGCCCTTTGTGGCGGCGGCGGTGGTGGCGCCGCCGCCTGTGGAACCATGTTGTACATCTGCTGCTGCTGGTCGCGGTAGAACTCCGGCGGCGTCCTCTGAACGGCGTAGTATCCCTGAGCCGGCGGTCCAGTCACCGGCGCCATCACCGGCGGCGCCTGGTACGCATTCGATGGAGGTGGAATCATGTACACCGGCTGCTCGTTGTTGACGGTGGTCGCCGCGAAGAATCCGCCCGGCACCTGGTTGTCCGTCCAGTAGGGAACCCCGCCGTAAACCGCCACCTGAGGGATTATCTCCGGCGGCCTATGGTACTCATCTCCGGCGGGCACCCCGACCAGATTATCCTCGTTTTTCCTTCCGAGGATCCCCTGTTGCTCCTCGAGCCTCAGCCTCTGCAGATCCTGGATGTGCTTCTGAATCGGATCCAACCCGGCAAACCGCTCACCCATACGTGGAACGACAACCGGATCCTCCACCTCAGCAACTCTACCCACCGCCTGCTGCCCTGCCACCGCGTTCGCCTTCTCCAAACCAAACAGGAAATCCACGTCATCCGGCGGCGTCTGAGCCGCCACGGAGGGCGCCGACGGCGGCGGCGCGGCCGCAATCGGCGCAGAATTTAAAGCCTCGACGAACCTATCCTTCTCCGATTTCACCTCGTCCGACCCAAAGCTCCGAGCGGACGAGCTCAGGCTCAGGCTCGTTGCCTGGAAGATGAAGATCCTCAGCCTCGCCGGCTTGGGTGACGCTCTCCACTGCCGCTCGTACTCGTGCATCATGTGCTCGAGATCGTCGTCGTTGGTCACCGAGATCAGTGCGTCCAGATCCTCGCCGGGCAGCTGATACTTGAACGAGATTCCCTCGCCGTCGCACAAGGCCGCCAGCTTCGCGGAAAGGGCGCTGAACTTGATGCCCCGATCGACGGCAAGGATCTTCGTCTCCCCGCCAATGTACGAGAGCTGGTTGTCGTTCGGCCGGGGGTGGATCTTCCCGCCGTAGCTGCACATGAATTTGACACGGTAGCTCGCTGGCGGCTGGCCTCCGCCCTGTGAATCCTCCCACGGCGGCGGGTTCTCGAACTCGATCTCGCGGGAGCGTGGCGAGGAGTCGCCGGACTCCGGGTAGGAAGAGTTGTAGGAGTAGTTCTCCATCGGAAGAGAGAGAAAAGGAGGAGAGAGAGAGGGGGGGCGGATTTGCTTTTTCTGTTAGGCCATTTGGGGATTTGGGAGTCACCATGGTTGATTGCGAGGTGTTTTAATTTTGTTGGGAGTCGAGGGAACGATAAAATGACACGCGGGTGATTTATTCTCCTCTGTGCAACTAAGGGATTGTGGTGACGTGGCGGGCAGATGGATAGGTAGCACGGGAGGGATAGGACTGAGGGTGGGTGACGGTTGGGATGACTAGCAGTTTTTGGGTGATGACTAATGGGGTTAGCTGGAGCAAGTTGTGGGGGCCCAGAGATGGTTATTATATAGATGAAATTTGAGGAGAAAAATATAGTAACACTGAGGAATGGAGCAGTTCATAAATCACATACCTTTGGACCTTGGATATATATTGGTAGACATGGCCAAAACCGGCTCGGTTTTGGGTCAAGTGTTGGACGGTCCTTAACTTGTCCGAACATATGTCCGGGGTGGTTCGGTGAACCGTCGATTTCGAGCTATCCCGATTCATTAAAAAAATAAAAGAATAATAAATTTTTTTTAAAAAAAAAAATTGGTTGAATTGTTGGTTTCGGTTCCGATTTAGAATCGTCTCGACGGTTTTAAAAGTACACATATGTGGCCCAGGACCGGTCCAGTCCGATCAAACCACGAGCTCAGTTCAAGACCCGTTTTGGCCACAGGCCAGTTCGGGCCTAATCGACAGTCCGGTTCACACAGATTCGCCCGTGGTCATGTTTATATATTGGTCAGTTTTGACAAGATATTTCATTTTTTAATTTAAAATCCAACTTAAATTTAATTCAAACCAACATTCTTCAATATTATCAATATAATCAAATAATTTCAGTCAATTATCCTCACATATCACATCAATTTTAGTGCTCACATAATTTTAATTATCATCACTTTCAATCACATCTCTCTTACTTTTACATCAAATCAAATACAATTATTATATTTTAAATATTACGATAATACAAACTAAAGTCTCACTTAAACCTAATTCAATCAACTTGTTTAAACTTTTTTAAAATTAACCTTAATTATCCAACAAATTTACCAAAATAACTTATAACCATCATCCCTTGATCTTATGTCAAGTTTGGAAAAGAAAAATTACATTTAACCATCATCCCTTGATCTTATGTCAAGTTTGGAAAAGAAAAATTACATTTCAGTAAATTAAAAAGTGTAGAGTAATTCTATAGGTACATAATAATGTACATAGAGGTGTACATAACACTCACATGGAGTGGGTCCTAAGTGTTATGTACACCTCTATGTATATTTGTTATGTACTTGTAGTATTTTTCTTAGAGTTTTTACTTTTACCCCTCCTTAAATGGAATTGAGTTTTTACTTTTAGTTTATTGTTTCATTCCTAACTTTAATCATTTAGTTGAATGATTGCATATAGGACGTAATAATTATCAAGTACTAATTGCATTTTTTCAATTGAGTTTCTGTGAGATATCTCTATCAGTTTGGAAATTTAGGAGTTTATGTCATCGGTCTTGGTTAAATACCAACTAGAAAATTTTAGATGGTGCCGAGGCATTAAGGGTATGTTTGTTTATAAAAATTTTTGGTTTTGTTTGAATTTTTTGATTTGGTTTAGTTAATTTTAAAAAAGGTGATATGGATAATTGTTAGTGAATATTTAAAATAATACTTAAAATAAAATAATTAAAATTGATTTGATGTAAAAGTAGGAGAAAGAGATTTGATGTGATGGTTAGTTAAAACAATGTGAGTGGATGAATAGTGAATTAAGGTTGATTTGTTGTGTATTAATGATTGATTGATATTATTTAATTATATTAATAATTTTTATGATAGTGGATTGGATTAAAGTTGAGTTAAAAAAAATAGTTGAACTAAAATGTTAGAAATTTTTTAAAAAATTTCATAAACAAATATGCTCTAAAGCTTTGTTCGCAAAGGCTCAAATTCAACTCGAGGCAACATATCGAGTGAGTTTGTTTAGTTAATAAGTTCATTATATTCGATAAACAAGGGGAATTTATGCAATTTTTAGAATTATTATCTTAGCCCGGCTTGTACCAAGAATTTGTGGCTCAAGTGGTACCCCTCATCCTTTAAAAGGGTGTTGGAATGATTGATACATAGTTCGACCCATGTACCACACATTTATTTAGATATTAGGTAATCCTTCCTATCATCTCCCTATAACTATACAATAGNNNTTAACTCAAATCGTTAAGCTCAAGCTCGTTAATTGACTCAATTAGTTAACGAAATGAGTTCAATTTGACTCGATAAAAAGCTTGAAGCTAAACTTGAGTATCAAGAGCTGAGCTAAGCTTGACAATTTATTGATGGGTAGACCTGTTGAATAGAACAAGCCACTTGTGAACTCGATCCAACTTATTTGACAAATAAACTGAGCTCGAGCACTTTGATGGCTTGTTCAATTAACTCTGTCTGACTCGTTAAAGCTCAAAAATAAGATTTTTTGTACAATTTTTTTATAATTCTGCTAATTAAGACTTAAACTTGACATCATTAATATTGATAAGCAAGTAGAACTCAAACTTTTGACTCGTGACTCGAGCCCTGTGGGCTCAAGTTTGGCTCGGGTCAATTACACCCCTAATGGTGGGTATCTCTGAAGAGACAAATCCAAGCCCATGCATGGAAAATTAAACACGACAATTTCAACGCACGACTTCACAGAAAAACAACTCCTAACAACCTAGTAATTAAATGCTCTCAACAGTCCTGGCATCTAAAACTTTTGAATTTTTACCAAACCAATCTAGGTAAAATGTAGGCATATATTAAAACTAGGTACGGCTGAGAGCTTCAGAGATAGCTCCTTTACGGTTTTACACATCAATAGCTTATTTACTCATTTTTTCGACTCACCTGCCACTGCCGACTACTGTTTTTACTTGGGCAATGAGTTGGGTGTGTTTTTCTCTTGATTTTGATCACCAGCAGCATCACTAGGCGCATCGAGTCCAGACGGGATCTTTCCAGGATAATTAGTTGATGAAAACTCCGAGCCAACATTGCTGTTAAATACACAAAATAATTTCAATAACCCGAATGGCAGGACAAAATTTCATAATCGAAGGCAAGTTCTAAATCACGGGTTTGTTACCTTCTGTCCACGATGACCATCGAGCGAAGCTCACAATTGGCAAAGCTACAAATACATAATTTGCAGAAGAATCAATTAAGGCATTTTGGAAATCACATTTGAATTAAAAAAATAAAAAATAAAATGCCCTTTTTTTCCTCAATCAATGTGTTGAAACGATGAGAACTTACTGGCTAGAAATTTCTTTCTTCACAAGAGGATGGCAATCGTTGCCCAATGTAGCAAGTGTATGAAACAAGAACCCACTGTGTGTAACTATTGCAATCTCCTTCTCTTTCCTTGTAAGTAACCTGCCACAAATCAAGAAAATGACACATGTAAGTAACTGCTTGTGGCTATGGAAAGTAAAACTATAACCTGAAAGCATGCAAATAAACAGGCTTGCATTGGTTCAGAGAAATAAATTGTTCGGTGCTTGCCTCTTTTCATTAAATATAACAACTCATGAATGATTCATTGCAATTTGCACCCACAAAAATCACACTTACCGAACAGGTTTATCTGTACATGTTGCATGCACATTGACACAGACAACTCTAGGTCCAGATACAGGTGTGTATATATATATATATATATATATATATATATATATATATATATATTATTAAAAGGAAGGAGGAAAAATATAAAGAAACTTACTGAAACTACATATTTGAGATTGAAAGTAACTATAGGGTGAAGGGAGAAGGGAGAAGATGAAGAAGAAACACACTATGAAACTATTTGAGATATAAAGCAATTTGCATCAGTATATGCCCAACTATTACACAGATGTCTCTCTCGCTCTATATATATACATATATGTGTATTTGACTCTGGAAAGGGATAAAATTATCAGAGATTATAATGTGACTTCAAATATTGGTCATCTTCACCTATACTGATTACTGACTGAATGGGAAAGCAAATTGTGCACTTGTTCGAGCGTAGGAAAATATTACAACTTTCCTGCCTGCCTCCTGAAATATTACGGACTTTGAAAAGAGCTACTCACCAGTTGAAGAAGTTCTTTCCTCGAGTTGCAACCTCCTCCTTGGTCTCTCTGACATCAGCCTTCCATGCACTGTCATCATCACTCTCTATCTGAAGCAAAACAAGTAGCGAGTATAATGATGCCATTAATTCTTCATAAATTAATGAAGTGTACCCATCTCAGCGATTGTTACATGGCTTACCAGTGAAAAATCAACTGCCGGAAAAAGGCATTGATATTCCCCAATGCTTCTCCTCTTATCACAAGGATGAACTCCCTGCAAAATACGAATTTGTCACTGGAGGTAAAACCCCTATAACATTTCCACTCTAATTCATCATCTTATTAAAGTTGTTCAGATACTGCGCCATTAGGCATTTGAAATGTGATCATCCTTTCTCCATGCAGAATGGGAAGTCCTACATTGAACTGATCCAGATTTCTATATGGAAAGTAGTACGGTTTGGATATTTCCATAGTTCTTTCCTTAAATGCTACAGAAAACTATGGCAGTTTCCGCGCAGTTCGAATAATTTCACATCTAAAATCCATGGAACATAATGGAAGTAAAAATCTTAATATTTTTATTTTGTACATTATACAAGGAAAAGTAGCTATTTCATGGTGAACATGGTCCACAGAAATGTCATAAATTGAAAAGGTACCGCTCAAAAAG